TATACTTCTCTGACTGGTTACTTTTTCAGAAAAGGCCATGTTTTACAGCTTGTGAGCTTTAGAACAAATGCTTTTTAGGTGTCTGACCTGCCGATCTCCAATCAGAGCCATTCATTATGAAACAGGCCGGTTCTAATCTCTGGCTGATTGCGTCCTGATCCGGTGCCTCTCTGATCAAATGTGATCTTCTTTGTTACAGTGCAGCCATGGGACACAGAGTAGGCTGAACAGGACGGCCTAGCTAGACACATCTGTCGTAAGTATCAATGAGAACACACTCAGATCATTACACTGTTATCACCTTGAAGCACCTTTGCATTGGAACAGTTTATATTCTAAGCTTCCTTATGATGTCAGTGAAGTTTTCCAGTTTAAAGTAATTTGTGGGTTCTCAGGAGTGAGCTGCTGATGTTGCCTGGTTTCTCTATGTAAGGCTTCCCACTGTGGCGAATGTCATGGCCACGGCCTCATCAAGAGCAGAGACTAGCCATAACCACAGACGCACATCCCAGCTCCATGCCATTGGTGAGTCAAAGCAGGCTAGACATGAAATCCTGGCTGTAAAGCATCTTTTCTGTTCTCATTGCTTCCTTAATGTCCTCCTCTCTAGTGTCATGTGCCAAACTCAAGAGAAAGAAAAGCGTTTTCGGCGCTGCCATTTATGTGGAGGTGACAGCAGAGGGAGAGACCCGGCGCACGACCAAATCTCACAGCTCCTCCAACCCAAAATGGGACGAGAGGCTCACTCTGTAAGGGGCTTCTGTTTACCCTCTGCTGTCCTGCTCACTGTTTGTGTTTTTCACGCTAATGTGATCCTTACGCGTCGTAAGGAATATTCTGCAGGATTCAGGCTCATTTATAGCTGCTTTTAGCGAAGCAGCTGATATTTCTCTTGTTTCCACCATAACTTCCTTTAAGCTCACCTAAGGCTTGTTTATATCGCTTATTGAACAAAACAAAGTTGCAATAACTTTACAGCTTTAGGGAATCGCAAGTAGTATTATATAAGAACCCTCCGGTTGCTCATCTGATCATTTGAAAAAATAAAAATAAAAAACTACAGGAGTTGTCTGAAAGCACACAGGCCTCTTTGTGCTATCCCACAACCAGAGCCACCAGCACAAATGTTGCAGCTCTTTCTGAGCTGCAGCCAGAGACAAATCACTGCTAATAGTAAAGGTTTTAAACAGGGCAGCTAGGGCTGCAGTGTTAAGCAGTCCTGTGTTTGCATCGTGCATGTTTTGCAAGGCACTGTAGGTCTTTCTCATGACTTTGAGGCTGTAATTTAAGATGTTTCTCTTTGGGCCGATGTGCTCGGTTCTAAAAACAATGGCTGCACTGTGTTGTGCTCGTTTTGTCCTTCTTAGAGCTCAACGAGTCGGCATTATGCCAGATATGAATCTTATCTCTTCTTGCAGTTTTTGTTTTTTTTTCTTTTTTTGGGGGGTGGTAGGTAGATGGATTCTTTATAGTTGTTTTATTTGTAAGGTGTTATGGCATCACACTATCTTTATAGAACCTTCAACTGTTTAAATATTGTCTTAATAAGTCATAAATGACAGATGAAAGCATGTTTAATGTCTTTCCCTATGGGAAAGAAAAACCTCCATGCTTTGTGTTTATTGCTTTCCTCCTTTTTAGCAAAGAGACTTGGGTTTTCTAAGAAGTGTTTGTGTGTTCTTGATTTTCTTTTTAGGACTGTAACGCCACACACGCAGGTGGATTTCAAAGTATGGAGCCACCACACCCTGAAAGCAGACGCTCTGCTGGGCAAAGCAACGCTGGATCTCACTCAGGCACTGGAACAGCACGACAGAAAATGTAGGATTTTAAGACTCATGAGACAACGTAAACAGAAACATGACTGTGATAGATGTGCACTGGAAAAACGATCTAGAAATAAGTAAAAAGTGTATTTACCCTTAACTAAAGTAGGTAAATTAGATGATCTGCCAATGGAATGAGTGTTTTTACTCTTAAAATTAGATATTTAGACTTGAAATAAGACAATGCAGTTGTGTTTACTTATTTTAAGTGTAAATTATCTTGTTCCACTGGCAAAATGTCTCTTTTATCTCCTCAATTCAAGAACAAATGCACTTACTTTAAGAAAAAATGACTTATCTAGATTAACATTTTATTCCAGTATGTATGCTGCTTTCTGCCTTGTTTCTAAATACGATAGCAGATTAAGATTTACAAAGCAAGGTTAGACTTACTGGCATTGGAGCCGCTAATTCTGATAGTTTTCTGCATAGATAAAGAATTATGAACAGTTAGGGCTTCAAGATATTAGTAGAACCTCCGGCGCGAGATAACTGCAGAGTATTAAGATATCACTTGCAATATATGAGTTAATGCTTAAAACACATCAGGAAAGTATTCAATGTGCTTTACTTTTCCATGTTTTGTTATGTTGTAGCCTTAATCCAAATTGTAAAGAGTTTAGCCATTGGTGTTAGGGAAAAATGGCTGCTTATGAAGTAACCGTTATATAAGAGTAAACAACTTTATATTAACTCATTAAACAATAACTTTCATCCATTGTATCATAAATTATTTAAAATCCCTTATGCCAGCTCTAGCTTTGTGGAACCCTTTCTGTTTTGTGGTTATATTGAAGGTGATAATGGAGATTAGTCAAATTTCCTTTCATTGTTGATAAAAGTGATCAACATGTGTCGCTCAATACCTTTGTTTGTAGAACATCATCTGATTTAAAACCAAAATGTCTTCGAATAAGATCTGTTTTGTTTTTTTTAACCATGATTTCTTTGTCGCTAACATTTTTTGCATTAGTCTGGAGCTTAGCTGATTTTTCTTATTAAACTTGAGAGGTATTTTCTAAAGTTGTTCAAACTTGTATGCCTTAAGGGCTGGTTATACTCCCCGCAGCAGTGTGTCGCAGTGAGCTTGTCGCAGGTATTTTAGATTTATGCCCAATATTGAAGCATGGTCGGCGCTATGTTGTTCCACGCCACAACGCAAGACGGACAATCATGAACTAGCTATGGGTCTAGATACGGCCGAAGTGGTGAGGAAGTGGGAGCAAGTTTGTGCGACAACGGGGAGACATGAGGGCACAAAAGAGCGGGGATCCAGGTGGAAAAAGGGTCCCAGCGTTCTCACGCACCTTGCTCTTCTAGTTGGTCCATCTTCACGAGTCGTTTTCCACAAGCCGGTAAGGAACCAAACAGGAAATGCGCATAGCGTAGAATGGATGTAGATTTGACCAATCAGAGGCCTCCTGTCTGCAGCACTTTCTGCGGTCACCTTCAATTTTGGAGAGGTGCAGCAGAGTGTCTGCGGAAGGGGTGGGTTCACATTTGCGTTCACTGCAACACACATGCAGTATTCTGACTCGGCTAAGGCAAAACATGTCAAGCTGTGATTATTAGGCTTCGCCAAAGGATGCCTCTCTTGGTTTATGTCACTTATTCAAGACAGGTTTAACTAACCGGTTCACACAAGCAGACCTTGTACTCTATTAGAGCTCATTAAGTAAAAAGGGAGAAATGTTAACGCGCTCGACATTTCATTGATTGAAAGCCATGAGGAGTTCAAAAATGTGTTTGAAAAAAAGAAGGGAAATACTCTAAAAGGAGATGGCAGGTCAGTGCTGAAGGATTACATGTGTGAATTGTCACCCTTTTCACCTCAGATGAATCCAAAATAAATGTCATATTTAATTATTGTCAATTTAGACAATATTTCAGATGTGTTGGTGTTAGTCTTTTGATAAAAAATGCTTATTATTAGCGATAATTTATTCAAATGCTTTTTTCTCGTTTTAGTCCAGTTTTAGTCTGGAGAGTTTAGTCTTCGTTTTGGTCACATAAGCTGTTTTAAATTCACATTAAATCAGATTTTAGTCAGTAAGAATCTTGCTTTGACTAAAAAAGTGATTAAAAATTTTAATATTATTAATTTGCTGCAGGTTTAATTCCTTTAGTAGTGAAATCAAAGGTGAGATACACACCTTGCAGGTATAAAAGCCTTATTCAAAACGACAAGCTCTGATTTGACGCACTTTTTTTCTTTTTAAACAAAGCAACAAAAAGATTCAGGCTCTTGAAATCTGTGCTGGAATTTCACATTTAAATAACTACCTTCATATCGTAGCTGCAAAAAAGCAAACTAAAAAAAAACCCAAATGTAACAAGACTGAGGGAGAAACCCTGAACAACTGTTACCTACTGGTAAAGAGGCATTTTATCTGTGAAACAGTGAGGCCATGATTGAAGATGTTCTATGGAAGAGCTGAGGTCAAATTAAGACATTCAGGTAAATTATTCCTACTCTAGGAAATCGGTAACGTTGTTGTGAAAATGAAAGACTAATTTCAATCCCAGACAAAATGGAGTGCTGTGCTCTCCACAGAGGAGCTCCTGCCCATGAGTTCTGAGATGCTTGTATGCGGGTGAGGCTTTGTTTTTATGGGTTGATAATCGTCAGTTCGATTTCAAAAACCAGAACCAGTCTTCAGGATTCTTCCGAACCTCCAAATGAAAACACCACACCTGCTTTTAATAGTTTTCTCTCTCTGTCTTCTGGTAGCACACCTGAGTGTGAGCCCATGTGACTCGGCGCAAGTCTCTGATACATTTAGAAGCGTTTCCTCCAGCTTTGTCGGGTTTAGCATCTCGTTAGAGAAAACTGATAGCAGATGAGCGACAAAGTATGGACAGGAACAGCTGATGATGAGATGTGCCAGTACTTTGACAAGCTTATAGATTAATACTGGTTCTTGGGAGGGGTTCTCGGTTTGGATCATGTTAGGGGAAACACTGCATGAAATAACACATAATCTAATATTCATTTGGAATAATTCTTGAGGTTCCATTTTGAATTTAAACAGGTTGGACATTCAGTGCTCAAAAAAAAGGTTTTGGAACGGGTTCAAATTTTTTTAATTTAGGGTTTTTTCCCCTTATTTTGGTTGGTTAATTAGGTTGTTTTGCCGTTGGATTGGGGTTTTTTCTTTTTGGATTAGGTTATTTGGTTATTAACCCTTTGAATTAGGCCATTGAATTTTTTTTTTACTTATTTTAAATATAAATCGTCTTGTTTCATTGTCTAAGAGTCTCACTTACCTCCTCAATTATAGAGAAAATGCACTTATTTTTTCCAGGGTGGTATGTCTTACTTAAAAACTTGTTGTTTTACTTCAGGTTATTGAGGAATTAGAATATCATAGCAGCGTGTTGCTAGAGTTAAAAAAGGAGGGGGCAATGAAAAAGAAGGTAAAAATGTATATCATAAACCTTTGTTTAAGATCAGAGGTGCCCTCCTGTCTGCATATGATCCCTGAATTTAATCAATGGCATCTCCACCAGTCTAAAGAGTTATGGTAATGTGTTTTAGATGGCAGCAGAAGCTACATTGAACACATGTACCATCATAATCTCATTCTAAATGTATTTAGCTGCGTTGTTTTCTTTATTTTTTTATTTTTTTGCTACCTGTTTTCTCCATAGTGGAAAACGTGAAGGAGGTGCTGAAGCTGAACGGGGAGCAGAAGGGGGTTTCCATGCCTGTTGGCGAGCTGACTGTGTACCTTGATGGCCTGACTGTCTCTGATCAGGAGGAGCTGGCACCGCTGACCAATGGCAGCACAGCAAACGGCACCAGTGAGCTCCCTAGTTATGTTAGGGGTGTGTTATGTTACATTAAGTCAAGCATTCATCCTGCATGACATCTACAAACACTAACAGATTTATTAGATAATCTGTAAATAACTTTAACTTAATCCCACGCTGCATATCCAGACTGAATTGATATTGAAATATTTATCTGTTTTGCCAGAAGTCCAGCAGAATGGTGACGCCATTCATGAAAACGGGGACTCTTCTTCCTCTTCTTCAAGGGCTGCTAACAGGTAATCAC